AATTCTGATAACTTCAACATCTTAAGGATAAACAGATTTAATGGCACCGATATTCATTCATTCATTAAAACAGAAAGTGCTCGAGGAATCCGAATTTATCAAAAAAGAACTCAACCAACAGGTAAGTTGCAGGACTTCTTCATAACCTTCATAATGGAGGGGGAAGCGGGAAGTGAATTGGGACATAGTCCTTGTGCCTGTGTGGTGTTAAAGTGGTGAGTCATAAATTCTGGTTTGACAGCAGAAATGTGCATGTCGGCTTGRTAAAATGGAATAGAGCTCCTTTCACAAGTCTAAATGACAAATTGTTCAGTTTCTAGTGAATCGCTTCTACAACCATAGAATTGAAATGATGGCTGGATTTAGACTCAGGAAGGAGCTTTCAATTGTGATGTATGTAGAGACAATGCAGATGCTTTCTTTTTCATTTTCTTGTATTATTATGGGGAAATAAATCAGGTGACATCCTTGCAACCTTTTTTCAGTGTTCTTTGTATTCATTGATTGGTCTCCTGATTTCTCATCCCAGTAGTTCATTAACATATGTTCATTAAAAATATATATCTTTTTAATTTTAAGGTTGCAATGATTCTAGTGTTTCTCAAAAACACAAACCCTTTATTTTTTATGTCATGTTAATTGTGCTCTTTAGCAATCCAACTTAGGCTCAGTCACATATAGAATAAGAGAACATAAAAAAAATCACTTCTAATTTCCATCCTCTTTCTGTGCTTCAAATGAAAAATAATCTAGAATTATCTAAATGTTAACATATATACAATTGAGGAAGTGAGTTGAATAACTATGTTTACAGCAGTTGCAATTTTGAATTTTGTGGATAACCTAATAAGAATTTGATATTAGGGTTTATTCATTCATTAGTTACTCATGGATCATCTATTGTGTGCCATAAAATATTCTGTGTATACTGAGAATACATCAGTGAATAAGACATAGAAAACATTTTTGCCTTCATAAGGTTTGCATCCTATTATAGCAGATATAATAACTAGGTAAATTATATATTATAGTGGGAGTGAGTGCCATAGAGAAAATACAGTAGAAAAGAAAAGTAAAGAATGGTACAGAGGTGGGGATGGAGGAGTTTGCCATTTTATATTGAATAGTCAGAGGAAATCTCTTTGAATGCATGGCATTGAATGAATACTTGAAGTAATAGAAAGAGAGATGCATGAGGATAACTGTAGCCAGAGCACTTTAGAGAGAGAGATGGACAAGCACAAATTCCAGAACTGAGCATGTCTCCATAGTTGAAGGAACAGCAGGAAGACCTATGTGGCTGACGCAGAATGAATGAGAGAAAGAGAAGTAGAAAACGAGGTTGCAGAAATGGAAGACAATAACAAGTAAGACCCTGTAGCCCAGTGTAAAAACTTTGGCTTATCCAGAAAGCATTGCTCTCTGACATTTTGGAAGAATCACAATAAATACTGTATTGACAAAAGGCTGTGGGAAGAGCTTGGTGGAAATTTAGAGAGTACTAGGGATTGTATGAAGAGAGTATAGTTGTACAGTAGTGAGAAGTAGTGAAATTCAGGAGGCAGAGTCAATAGAATTTCCTGGTGGATTGGATGCAGGATATAAATCAAAAACAATTCAAAGATGATGACAATGGCTTGGCCAGAACAAGTGGAACTGAATTATTTTTGAGATTGGAGGAACTAAGTATGGATCAAACTTGAGGCAAAGATTAAGTTCAGTTTTCAAGGGTTATTTCAGGTGTCTATTACAAATCCAAGTGGAGATATCAAAGAGGTATTTGAATATACAAGACCATATTTTCAGTTTCAGTGATTAAGTCCAGGGTGGATACATCCATTTACAAGCCACTGGCATATAGTTGATTTTTAAAATCATGTCAATGGGTGAACACCAAGGAAGCAAATATAGATGAAGAAGAAAATAGTTCCAAATAGTGGATACTGGGGTGCTTCAACAATAAGTCAAGAAGAATAGGAGAACCAAAAGAGGAGACAGAGAAGAAGTTTGTCAAGTTCAATTGACCTTTAGTGTTGGCAACACAAATCTTATGGGAATCTGAACAGAGCAGTTTTGTTGGTGAAGTGAATATTTCATTAAAATTGAAAGAGAGAGGAAGGAAAGGAATTGTAGAAAATGATCATAAGTAATTTTGAGATGTATGGCCGAAGCAGGGAAATACAGAATTAGTTGGAGGATTTCCTATGGTAATTTCAATTAAAGAAAGATTTTTTTCTTTTCTTCTTCTTCTTTTTTTTTTCTTTTAATAACAGTGCACTTTCCTTTTCATGGGCATGATCCAATGGAGAAAGAAAAAAGTGATGATTAAAGTAAGAACAGAATTGTTGATTATATGAGAAGAGATGTTAGGCTGGAAAAGTAAATGCAATACTCTTGGCAGAGAAAAGTAGTTCAAATTGCATTTCACTCATCTCTTTTCAGTTAGAGAATGAAAGATTTTTTTCAAGGACAGTATCTAGAGTTTGTCTAATCTTCCCAGGCTCCCCCTCCCAACCCTACTTTGAATCAGACTCCTTATACCAGAGAAAACATTAAACATTTGGTTTTTGGGGACTAGCTAACTTCACTTAGCATTATATTCTCCAACTCCATCCCTGCAAATGCATGATTTTATCCTCTTTTATTTCTGAGTAATATTCCATTGTATATATACACCACATTTTCTTTATTGATTCATCTACTGAAGAGCATGTAGGTTGCTCCAACAGTTTAGCTACTGTGAATTGTGCTGCTATAAACATTGATGTGGCTTTGTCCCTGTAGTATGCTGTTTTTAAGTCCTTTGGATATAGACCGAGAAGAGGGATAGCTGGGTTAATAGGTGGTTTCATTCCCAGTTTTCCAAGGAATCTCCATACAGCTTTCTATATTGGCTATACCAATTTGCAGTCCCTGAATCCAAAACCAGGTAAAGACATATCAAGGAAAGAAAACTTCAGACCAATATCTCTAATGAACAAAGACGCAAAAGTTCTCAATAAAATTCTGACAAATCGAATACAAAACATATCAGAAAAATAGCACACCACTATCAAGTGGGGTTCATCCTAGGGATGCAAGGTTGATTCAATACACGGAAATCAATAAATGTAATTCATCACATCAATAGACTTAAAGATAAAGAACCATATCATCTCAATAGATGCAGAAAAAGCAATTGACAAAATACAGCACCTTTCATGTTCAATACACTAGAAAAACTAGGAACATTAGGAACATATCTCAACATTGTAAAAGTTATCTATGCTAATCCCCAGGAAAACATCATTCTAAATGGATAAAAATTGAAATCATAGTGGTTGTATTATTAAATGAAAATTGCTAGAGGAAAGGGACTAGGGGGAGGGCGGAAGCTTGGGAAAGGAAAGTGCTTGAAAGTGATATTGTCTAAGTTATATTGCTATATTCTGTGYATGAATGAATGTATAACAGCAAATCCCTCTATTATGGACAACTATAATGCACCAATAAAAATATGGGGGAAAAAAGAAAGCTATTGTGAKAGTTATTACAATCTCAACTCTGTTGATCTAAAATAAATACGATCACAATGACACTTAAAGTCCTATCGAAATTATTCCTGCTTGTCCTTTTCTCTTTGGCCCATCTTTCTTTCTCTGACCTTGTCCATATGCTACTTTTTCATTTTTTTCTTCCCTAATGCTAAACACTCATGGGACATTATTTTACTCCTCAATTTCCTCTTGAAAACTCAGTGTCCAATATTGACAATTATAGTTACACACACATACACACAAACACACACACACACACACACACACACTCACTTCATTTTGTACTAAGGTTTTCAAAATACCAATAGACTCACAATTAAAACAGAAAAAAATGACCTCATCAATTATCAACAGAGTACACAGGATAACTGAATCACATTTTTTCTAGTTCATTTCTTCTGCTCACATATGGATTGTTGCAGAGGAATTCCTTTCTTTGTTTCATTACCAAGGCTGAGAGTATTTTCATGTTATTATTAATATTAGTTTTTATTTAGTGGTTGGACTTTAAATGAGTACAATAAGTAGGTAATAAAGACATGTTGGCTTTATTTTGCTTACATATGAACAACTTAAATTGATACAAACACATATTTTATTTTTCTCAGAATTGCTTTAGAAAACATAGCCTCAGGAGAATTTTGGATATTCCCTTTCTCTTCTTCCATGAGATTTCAATGTTTGCCATTTGATTACAGTACTAAAGAGTTGGATATATGGAATTTTGTTAATATTCCCTGTTCTTGCACTGTTCAAGTTGTGACATACTGATGTTCATAATTATCTTGTCTTTGGAGAATTTCCTGTGTGTTGTTTTTTTTTTTTATTTGTTGTAGTCAGAAGCCACGCATGTGAAGTGGATCCATATGGAATGCCAGGGGGATGCTCACACATCTGTCTGCTCCACAGCAGTTACAAAACACGGACCTGTCGCTGCAGGACTGGCTTCAACTTGGGGAGTGATGGCAGGTCATGCAAAAGTATGTTTTAAAAATCAAACATTTTGCCAGCAGCTACCACTTCAGAATAGAGGTTTTTTTTGTTGTTGTTGTTTTTTACTACTAATTAGCAGCATTCATATCATGAATAACATGAGTTTTAATCAGGTGAAATTTTCCTGCAAAGACATGCTAACAATTTTTTCTCACCATAAGTAGTTTTATGACTATGTGAATTGAAATTTAATCTGACTGTAGAATCACTAAACTTAGTGGCCTTAGGGAATTGTTCTTTAAGGAAGAATTTTAGGAAGATTTTTTTTTTTTAATTCCCTAATGAATGTTTTTGGGTCAATGGGCTATACTCATTCATTGACCAGAATTTCTCTTATCAAAACTAAGATAATGCTCTAACAGTAGATGTGTTGTTTGGTCCAACAGATATCAACATATAACAAAGCTTTATCTCACAGGGGAGTGGAATTTACTTCAAAATTTAAYTTCACATAACAAAAACAGTACTAATTAAATATTAATACCTTCAAAATTTTTATCAAATTGGGCAGTTATGTACACCTGTAATCCTACCTACTTAGAAGGTTAAGGAATGAAGATTTCAAGTTGGAGGCCAACCTGGACAAATTAGTAGGACCTAGGACTGAGTTTTAAATTGCCCCTGTATTCAATCCCCACTCCAAAGAAAAAGAAAGTAAAAAAAAAATGTCAAAAATTTTTCCAAGATATATATTGGTTAGTTATATTTTTCTTAGGCTGAATGTGGTCATGTCTAAAATCCCAGTGACTCTGGAGACTAAGGCAGGAGGATCACATGTTTTAGTGCAGCCTCACTAACAGCTTAGTGAGTAATTATTTCCAAAAAAGAACAAACAAATAAATAAAAGGTCTAGGGATATAGCTCACTGGTAAAGCACCCCTGGTTTCAATCCCCAGTTATGAGAAAAAGAATCTTTTTTTCAGATATGAAATATGACAGAGTCATTTAAGTATTTAAATAAAGTAGTCAAGATTTTAAACATGATTTTTTGAAACAATATTTGCACACAAGGTTTTATTTGCAGTCTTAATAATTAGGTATTGTAGAATGACAGTCATAGAAATTGTGTCCACGTAAAAACTGCTGGCTTTTAAATGTCCCTAAAATGCCAGTATTTTTTTTTCAAAGTTTTGTTGAATGCTTTTTATAGTATCCAGTTCAACTCATCCTTTGTCAATAGAGAAATATTTTTTTCTGTTTTTTTTGGGGGGTGGGGGAGGTACCGGTGTTTAGTCTCAGTGGTGCTTGACCACTGAGCCACATCCCCATCCCTATTTTTTMTTTTATTTAGAGACAAGGTCTTAGAACCTCATTGTTGCCAAGCTGGCTCTGAACTCATGATCCTCCTTCCTTGGCCTCCTGAGCCACTGGGTGACAGGCATGTGCCACCGCCCACAGAAACATTTTTTCTTTGTTCAGGACTCCCCCTTTCATCATTCTCTTGTCATGTACAGGCAAAAGACAGTGATAAGTTCACTAATTTGTTAGAATTTAATATAACTAGTCAGAATTAAAGATACTACAACTTGTTTTAAATCAATAACTCAAGAAGCTCAACTGTGACAAAAGTATACATGTTTACACTTTTTATTTTTATTTCTAATTTTGTATTAAGTACTGAAAATATAAATTCTATTAGCTGGCTATAATGGTGCATGTCCATCATCCCACTAGCTCAGGAGTTTGAGGTAGGAGGATTGTAAGTTCCAGGATAGCCTCAAGAATATAGTGAGGCTCTAAGCAACTTAGTAAGTCCCTATCTCAAAATAAAAGTCAAAAAACCTGGGAATGTAGCTCAATGGTCAAATGTGCCTTTTTGAAACCCCAGTAACCCTTGCCCCTTCACCCTCCAAAAAGAAATCTGCTTTCATGTTCCCAAGGCCTGCTAGATAAATAAGGACTCTGGATATGAATCCTTAAGATAAGAGAAACTGAGTATAAATGCATGTGTATATCATTTTTAAAAGCATGTAGTTGCTGCTTGAAAAATGATGGCACATCATACAAAAGAACAATCACTTACATATATTTGTACACATCTACATCTGTAGATACACATGTTTGGGGGGGACATAAAATCTGAGTTACATATGATTGGATCATCCTTAATGTAGTTTGTGATTTGTAGTATTTTTATAGTAAACAAATAATTCTAGCTATGCTCAACAGAAACAATTTTATTGCAAATAGGTGCTTACATTTGCAAAATCATTGACAATCCTAGAGTAAGAGCATCTAGACTGGGTCTTCCCAAACCAAACTAACTGACTGAAAGATGAAACACCTGCCACAATTAGTGGTTAGGGCATCAAGAAACCACAAATGGAATTACTAACTTCAAAAACAAGATCATTTTAGGTGAGATCCAGGTTGAGAATGTTTGTACCACATCTAATAGCTCCAGAATTGTGTCACATCTGATAGTCCCTATTACTGGGGGAGGAAGTGATGRTGGTGGTGGAATCCCTTCCCACATATGAATGGAATGGGAAAAGACTACAGTAGAAAGTTTAATTTTTGCAGCAGGTGCTGGCCAGGAAAAAAAAATGTAAAAAGAAGACCTTGGTCTCATTTGCTTATCATAAACTTGGGAGTGTACATCTGAGTCAGTTATTTAAGTCAAACCCAGAACCCTAGCTATATAAGTGTCTATGAAATGTAGCTTTTAGTTTTCAATTGTATATAATACAGGAAGTCAGAGAGACTGGAAGAAACTTGAAAGTAGTTTAAAGTGAATAATGCATAGAGGAAAATGGCTACTGATGCTATTTAAAACACACACACACACACACACACAGATACAGAACACATCCTAATTTATCATGTACAATGTTTGCCAATTAACAATTAAAACATCCATTAGAAATAAAATAAAAAAAAACAAATGTTAATAATCACGATTATAGTAAAACAAACATTCTTATGCATCACTAATAAAGTTAGAAATTTGTATTATTATTATTGAAAGGCATTTGGTAGTACATACAATGACCATAAAACTGATGTTATTGTTTGACAAGTTATCCTTCCTTTGATTGAAATTGACTTGGTAAATTATCTTATATCAAAAAGGAATAATGTAAAGCTGAATGAATCAATGGGAAACAAAATTGATGCTAGGATTAAATAATATCATACAATAAAATTGAACAATTTTGTTGATAGAATTAAATATCCACTAGAAAAAAATASTGATAAAACAATTTTGAATTATCCATAAGAAGGAATACGATACAGCAATAAAAATAAGCTATGACTCCAACCACAATGAATTTATATCAAGAGTATAATAAAATTAATGTGTAAAATGCACTCATACCATTCAAACATTCTGCTGCTGGGAAATACCATGAAATTTTCTAAATTTTTTCTTAAACACATATAATAAGCACAATATAATTGAGATATTAAAAGTTTTTGAGATGGAAGAGGGTCAATCTGGAGCACATGCCTATTTTTCAATGTCCTGATAATACTCTGAACATCAATGTTAGGTATCTAAGATTTGTCTCAATTTTGCTGTACATAAAGACATGATATATTTTTTTTAATTTAGTTCTCAGTTACATTTATTTTGAAGAGAAAAATGTACAAGAAATATTAATATTGTTTGTATTGAAGATATTAAATTTATAAGTAATTACTTATTTTTTCTTTTATTATTTCYCAAATTTCTATAATGCTTGTATTTATTGCACTTGAAATCTCAGTTTTTATGTGGTTAGCAAAATATATGTTATATAACTTGATATAATTAATTTCTTTTACTCACATAGAATAAGCCAGCATTAGGTACCCTGTTAATAGGAAGAGTGCCTTATATTGCCTTTTAGTCTGAAAGAGTCAATTTGCTCTATASAAAAAGCTACATTTTTTTAAAAAAGAAAAAGCTACATTTTTAAATATGTTTTTTGAGGAGAGAGACTTTGTTTTTGTTTTGCTTTTGATAAGGCTTGTGTTGTACATTAGAGTACTTCAGAGCACATCAGCTTTAACGTTCTAATTGAAATGTGAAGAAAAAGTGATGCTATAACTGGCATTTGATTTCATTTCTTAAAAGAATAAGTTGCAATGACTGTAATATATTCACATGCAAGTTAGTGATAGAGTATGATTCTTTGTGTTTGTCTCTGACTGTAGATGAAAATTCTGAAGTATTGTTTCTTAAATGTTCTGAACTTTTTAGCGTTGTCAACTATAAATGAGAGCTATAGTTAGTATCTACAGAGAGTGCTAGATAGATTGTAATGAATTATAAAATTAAATGTACCAGATGTTTTAATAAATGTCCATTTCACAAGTTACAAGTTAGTCAATGATCTGTCATGTTTTTTGCTATACAGACAGTTACAGACAAAAGAATAATTAACTAAATATAACCATTCACTGAAGTGATTTCTGTTTTAATTAAAGTAATGCAATTAGCTGGCCTTCTTGCATCAAGATACATTTGGCATATTTTAGAGTTTAGTTTTTAGTATTGAATTTAAAAAATGCTAATTGGGCCAGTTAATTAAACAGGGGCATTATGCAGTGCAAAGAAGATTAGGCAGCATCAGTTGTTTATATTTGTAATCTTTCTTCTGCAGGACCAAAGAATGAGTTGTTCCTCTTTTATGGAAAAGGACGCCCAGGAATTGTTAGAGGAATGGACTTGAATACCAAGATAGCAGATGAATACATGATCCCCATAGAAAATCTGGTAAACCCTCGTGCTGTAGATTTTCATGCAGAAACCAATTACATCTACTTTGCTGACACCACCAGTTTCTTAATTGGCCGGCAGAAGATAGATGGCACAGAGCGAGAAACCATTCTGAAAGATGGTAAGTAACTCTGCCTCACAGTCACATCAGACTGTCCAGAGATAGAGGACTTTGAAGGGATTAAATCCAATGTGTTTCACAGTAACATTATCCAGATCCTGAGCTCAACTTGTTTACTTAAAATATTTGCTAATTTTATTTGCTCAATACTATTATGTCTCCATTCTTTTCACTTACCAATGTGTTAAAGCTTTCATTTTTTAAAAGTTGAACTTATACTTTGTCATACGTTTTAAATACTTCCAGAAATAAATTGATATATTTTCCATCTTTTCTGGGAAAATATAGATTTACTATGATGTGTTTATAATGTTATGTAGTAAAATAAAATTTAAGAGAACATTGAAAATATTTAGAATTTGTTTCTTATTAGAATATTGGTCATGTCACTCAGAATGTATTAAAAATGTGGGTCTCCCCATTTTCATCAAATTCTGGCATATTGTTTTATACTTTACAAATGATTGAAATGAAATTCTCCAGTCTTACCCTTGAAATATTAGTGTCTCCAAAGAAAAGTCAGCTATTGATACCTATTTTTATGAATGCATATATGAAGTTACATACATGTTAACATATATGCATATGCTTTATTGAAATTAGTGTATTTTGTAACTTATTTCACAGGAACAAGCAATAAAATATTTAAAAATATAACTGTGGCATAAGTAGAGAAAGTCTTTAGTTATCAAACAAAGTAGATCTTTGATTAGCTAACAGTCATCATTAAGTATGTTACCTAATAAATCTGGACCTTGGTTTCCTCATATATAAGCCCATTTGACTTCTTGAATATTTTAGAAATGTATGATTTAAGGAACATTAATTATATGCTTATTATATGAAGGACGCTGTACTAGCTATCAGAGAATATAAAAGGAGTTTTAGGCAATGACCAGCACCTTTAAGAAGCCCTTCATCTACCTTAATAAGATCAAAGCTGTCCCAAGAAACACATGATGAGTGGAGACTGTCCATGTCCTGGGAACCCACAGGAAGCGGGAGGTGTCTTAACAGGAGTGTGTTCAGGGTGCTCCTATGCAGGAGGCAGGCTTTGGGAAAGATTTTAAAGGATAAATGTTAAGTTGTCATTGGAGGACATTTCTGTAACCAGAAATTCTTTGGGGAAGAAACAAACACAAATGTCCTGGAAGTAGGTCACTACTAGAGGTTTCCAATGCAGGTAATAGTGAAAAAAGGAGAATTGGGAAGTGAAAATTGGAAAGATGAAAGGCCTCGAATATGAGGTAAAGGGTATGGATAAAATCTTGGAGCAAGAAACATGGAATACTTTTGTTCTGAAGAATAATGTGAATGAACTGATATTTTTAGAAAGGTCAATCCAATGATGGGGTACAGAGTTAATCACAAAGAAAGAGAAAAAAAAATCAAAGCAGAAATGGATTAAAAATATTTACAGCAAGAACGGCCATGAATGCTAGTCTTTCCTGTCTACCAGGAGAGAGAATTAGCCGAGCATAAGAAAACTATTTGTTCAACTCAGCCATACTTTAAATCAGTCCTTCAATGATGAAAAAGTTAATAGTCTCCATGAGTGGCAAATGAAGTACAAAAATGAAAAATATACCAGTTTTTGTCTTTTTTTTTTAAATAGCTTACTGATTAAGGCAATACAAATCCACCATGATTTAACATTCTCAAGGAGTTTCCTAATTAAAGTTAAAATTTTTGCTTTAAATTGGATGTGGCGGAGGCAGTCTGCCTTCTTTTCTCGGTAATATGATAACAGATGATAGGGACTTGACAATTCTAGAAGGACAATAGACTTGCACATTTGCCATAAGTAGATACATTTGGATTATTGTAGTTTTACCCTGGATATCTTCAGGAGGGACTAAAGTATAATATAGAAGTTTCTTGGTTTCATTTCAAAAAGTGTCAGTTCCTATGCTGTGCCTGAATGTCCCAGCTAATGATCCTGACTTTGATAACAGTATCTTATCAGTGACACTGGTAATTCTTTGAATTCTTCCACAGTAACAGAGATGAATTCTAACAGCTGCTCAACTGCCAGGCACATCTTTACTGTGCTGGTTTGACAGTATGAAGGGTATAAAAAGATTTTTCAGATTTTCACAGCTGAAATATATGTAACATGTCAATATTCCTTTTTAAAAAGTTTATCTTCTTTCTTTCCATTAAAGAGAATAATAATACATGTTGCAACACAAGACTAACCTGTCAAAACAGAAGTTTATATTGGCAAATGACAATTTGTGATTCTTAAAGAGAAAAAAATTAAATTCTAAGTGTTTTTCTTTATTTGTCTAACATCTACTATCCAATCTGAAGACTGGAAGTCAATGCTTAATTTGACAAGTGATTTTGTAAGCTTGGTAGAAATTCTGAATAGTTTGCATAGTTTAGAGTATAAAGCTATGCATATTTTTCTATTTGTAAATTAAACATAAATATCTTGAACATCTTCTGAATATATGCATATTCTTTCTATAAAAAAATATGCAAAATTGCCGAAAATGTTACAWCTCCATTCATTCTTTGATTTTTTTTTTTCTCCTAGAGGTCTATTGAAAAACCTCTACATGTAAAATATCATATTGGCTTTGCAGGCTAAAACAGCAGTAAAATACATGAGAATGACAATAATCAATTTGAAGGAATATCATGTTTCAATAATTATTGAAAATATCTCTAAAGTGAAAAGCATGTTACTGATTTAATAAAATAGAGTTGTGTAATGACAAAATATTTATCCATGTGTATTTTTCTCCTTCTGAGAATTTTTATCAAATTTTTTGGAAAATCCCTATCATTCTTCTTTTAATTCATTTCTTGATTTACTTGTTTAGTCAGTAAATATTAAATGAAGTCATATTTGGCCATGTGCTCTTGTAGGGGATAGGAATTGTGTATCAGGGGTCAATGCTGTTTCATATCAGCTTGGATCTCAGTAGGAAGCAGGAAATAAACAATAAACACATAAGTGAACAAGGTAATGACAAGTGCTCTACAGAAAATAAAGTAGGATACTGCAGTAGAAAGAAACAGAAGAATCAGCAGGAGGCAGAATTAAAGTGTGTGTGGGGGATTTAAGTTAGCTATTCTTGCCAGATATAATTATTGCTTTCTCTGAAAGAATAAGAGAGATCCTTTTATAAGACTGAATTTATTTTTATATTATCAGGCTTTTTGTCCAAGATTCATTTTTCATTGAAGTATGAATTATRGTTTTGCAGCAGAAAGAGGAAAAAACTACAAAAATGAAAATTTACTCTTCAATTTATTGTTTCATGTATTCCATAGAGCAGTACTTGTTTTTAAATTGTAGAAATTAATTCTACTTGGAGATATATAGCTCCAAACTGAAGGCATGTTAAAATGATCCTTCATATGGTTATGTATCTTTAAAGTATTAAAAGTTTCAAAGGATTTTCCTATGTTTGAAAATTATTAATGCCTGCAGCCATAACAGAAAAACTATAGTTGCAATAAATTCTACAATTAAACTGGGAACTTGAGGTCACTGTTTTATATAACATGTAGGCTTTCTTTAGCAATTTTTTCCCCAAAATAGTTATATAGAGATTAAAAAGTGTGGAAAAATGTGAAAAATCTGCTAGTCTTTTTGTTTTGGAAGTGATGAATGAATATCTGATTCTTTTATTTCATGTTATGCTATAATTTAAAAAATGTAAACGTAAGACTTATACAGCTACAATTCTTCCCAACTGTCATTCTTATAATTTCAAATAAAATATGTGCTTAAGAATATAGACATTCACTTTTATTATAATTAATTGCAACTTTGGCGAAACATTGTGTCCCCCAGATATGTTTTTCTTATTTTACTATTTTACACCATTTATTTTGTTATGTAACACTCAGTGGAAGGACCAAAGCTGCCTTGGGGCTAGTCTCTGTGAAGGGCATTGAGAGAGATGCAGGTGAGACAGGAAAAAGGAAGAAAGGTGGAATAAAATTGATCGAACTTCTGTATGTACATCCTTGATGTTGGTGAATCCTAACACCAAGAATATCCAAAGGGCCCATTTCAGTGGTGCACATCTGCAATCCCAGCAGCTTGGGAGGATGAGGCAGGAGGATTGTGAGTTGAAAGACAGCTTCAGCAAAAGCAAGTGCCAAGCAACTTGGTGAGACTCTTCTTCTAAATAAAATACAAAATAGAGCTGGGACTGGGGCTCAGTGGTCAAGTGCCCCTGAGTTCAATCCCCGGAACAACAATAACAAAAAAGAATATCCATAGGACATTACTTAAAACAAAACAAAATACACTGTAAATAAATTTCAGAAAGATCAGTAGAATAGAGAAAGAATCAGGAGGCATATTAGGAAGGAAGGGAGTGTTAGGGACTGAATTAGAGAAAATTATATTCCATGCTTTTGTGATTATGTCAAAATATATCCTAATCTTATATATAACTAAAAAGAATCAATAGAAAATTTTTTTAAAAAAATTAAAATTATATAGTTCATTGCATGTAAAGCATACCTAATTAAAGTTAATTAAAAATAAATATTAGAAAATATAAAAAAATAAGTGGCTGGAATAATAGTTCACCTTTGATCTGTATTTACTGGGTGCTAAAATTATACACTTTATGCCCAATATTCCATTTAATCCAATCAGCAAGTCTCTGGGGTCAGTAGTAGTAGTTGCTCCATTATATAGATTGGGCATTGAAACTCAGGGATATAAACAACTTCAGCAGAGATACATAACCTAGTCAGTGGATTCAGCTAGTTAAAAACTGTGAAGGCTCAGATTTTATTGTACTTGAAATCTAAAAAGTTAATCTCCTACAACCTTTGTGGATGCTGGCAGAACTTCTTCTGAGACAAAAGTCAATCATTTGTAATATCCAAAGTAATAGCCAGAGTATCATTAATTTTCTGTCAGGGTTCTGAACCCCACAGAGGTTATCACAGAGCATCACAAAAGTGGCATCTTATGTTATCTGCTCCTGAAATGGGACAAAGTGCCACTTAGGTTCTCTACT